TATCCTTCTGGCTATACAATGGGGCTTATTCTATAAAAGAGTTCTAAAGAAGTGCTTGATACAGTTGGTGTAGGAAACAGAAACAAAGAGTGATAGGCAATTGTATGACTTGAAAAGTTTCTTCTTTCCCAGCAGAATTCTGTAAGAAACACACACCCCTGGGCTAAATTATGGTTTACAGTTTTAGCTGTCAATTTAGAGTTCTGTTAGTCAGAGAACCACAAAGGCAGGAAACAATGCAAGAGAAAGAATTATCGGCACGGCACGGGATGATGGTTCAGCAGTTAGAGCACTTGTTAGTCTTGCAGAACCCCAGGCTCAGTTCTTAACACCTACATGAGGGTTCACCACCATGCATAACTTCCATAGCAAGGGAATCCAATGCCCTCTTCTGACCTCTGCATGTGATGCATGAACATGCAGGCAAATCAGTCACAACATAAAAGAATTATTTTATCTTTCAGTCACACATGCTTTAGCCAGCAGATGATACATTCCTCTGATGTTTACTTGTCCATGAACCACAAGTATCTTTTCACATGTCCTTTTACCAGCATTATTTAGTAATAATGAAAATGAATGAATTAAATTATAATGTTATCGTCACAAAAGGGATTTTTACTATTCCAGAAAACCAATTTAGTTTTCTTGTTATATAACTGTAATTATTTCAAAATGCTTTAAGTTATTATACCTAAATGAAACAACAGGGAAGAAAATACAATAGTGCAATATAGTCAGAATCTGGTGAGCTCACATCCAAAGCTCAGGATGTAAGGAATAAGGAAACCGAAGCATTAACTTCCATTTTCCTTCTTTCTTTGTTAAGTAAGAATTAACTTATTGATGTAGTTTTCTCTTTTTAGGAACCCTAAGGCTTCCCCAATTATTTCATCTGAAAATTTCTTATTTGAAGGTAACATAGCCTTGCTATTCATGCATTTCCAATCACTTAGGATCAATTAGTCCCTAATGCTTGTATCTTTGCAAAGCAGACAAAAGCAATCCAAAATTTAGAGGAAAACCATTTAAAGGTAAAACTGGAAAAGATTGTTTTGAGAAGTGTAAAAAATTGGATACTCAAAACTAGATCATACATGTGAGTTCTAAAGCAACTAATAAGCACAGAACATTTAAAATATTTGTGTGCGTGTGCGTGTGTGCGCGTGCGTATCTGCATATAAGTTAAAATATCAAATTGTTGATATTTAGCATGAAAATCTAATTAAATACTTTTGAGTGGCTCTTAGATCTTGACATTTCTAACAGATTTTAGGTTACTTTCCATGCTAATTAAAAATATTTAAAAAAATGTTTCAAGTAAAATTATCTTTACTCCTTAATATTTATAATATTTAACATTTCTTCTTCAAGTGGCCCCTGTAACTTATGGTTTAACATAAATGTTAATGATTTCAATATGATCAAAATGGGCCTGGTAAAATTTGCCTACAGGCAAATAGGGATTGGATTCATGACTGATCTGGGCAGGCCCTGTTTACTGAGGGTGGGGAACCCCTTAGCAGGTGGTCCCAGACAGCAGGTGGTCCCAGACAACAGAAGTGTAAAGGCTGAAAAAGCCTTGTGGGGCAAGTCAGTAAATAGCACATCTCCATGGCTTCTGCTCCCATTCCTGTCGCCTTTGAGTTCCTCTTCGAGTTGCTTTTGGTCATGGTGTTTATCAGACCAATAGAAATCCTAAGACACCACTAAAAAACCTGACAGACAGAAACTACAAAACCAAACCAAACACAACTGCTCATCTATATTATAAACTAAACTTGCACCCTGTCATATGAGTTTGTCAAAAGCAGTCTTTGGGAGTAGGCAGACCCCTTGTCTCGGATAGGCATGTCTGTTTTAAGGGTCCTCCAAAACTCCTTGTCATGGGTCAGGCTGCCCTCTGCCTCTGTAACAGTGACAAAGGAAAAAGGCAAACCGCTAAGGGTAGTGATAACATTGCACTTCTGAGAACAACTGAAAGGTAAAGCATTTCCAATAGGGGTTACGATTGTGACCTCTAGCATAAAGATGCCTATTGTAGGAATGGAAACCTGGAAGTTCATCCATCCACAGACATGCTCTGCCCCGTCTGAAAATCTCTCTATAGCCAACTCCATAGGCTGTTTCAGAATGGTTCCTTTCCCTGCTCATTTCTGCTGGACGCCATTATGTTCAATTGATGATGTTACTTACCTGCTTACTTTTGCCTGCTACAGGTCTAACAAATTCATTCACCCTAAATCCAAAGTATCATCACTGCAGATTATTCTGCAGAGAGTAATATCCAGATGTTTCAACAACCTAACTGCCAGGTGGTGGCACACTACCATGTATCACATCCTGAGCTAGGCATGTCTTTCTCAGCTCATTGTCACAGGCCATTGACCTACTTTTTTTTTTCCCTAGTGTGACATTAGAGGTCTTTGTACTAACTTCTCAGTTATCGACCAGTAAATCTAGGCATTCTTATTTAGGTTTCTGTTGTTTTCTTTTTTGCGGGGAGGGGTTTGAGACAGGGTTTCTCTGTGGCTTTGGAGACTGTCCTGGAACTAGCTCTTGTAGACCAGGCTGGTCTCGAACTCACAGAGATCCGCCTGCCTCTGCCTCCCGAGTGTTGGGATCAAAGGCGTGTGCCACCACCGCCCGGCTGTTGTTTTACTTTCTATTCAGTTTAGTACTGGTATATACCAGAGCTCACAGATGTATGGCTCATAAAATACATACTTTTTGCTTTCATATAAATAAAACTTTACTGTAATATAATTATACCTCTGTGCTAACAATGCCAAGGCTACTTGTATGCCATATCAGCAAAGCTGCAGATCATGTGACCAACAAAACTGAAGGTCTCTATCAATTATCCTAGTAAGAAAAGGTCACTGACCCTTGGCACAGAAAAGGCCTACTGCCAATCTGCTCAGTTTTCACAGCTTTCAGCAGTTTGCTGATCTAGATTTTTTTTCCTCTCTTAAAACCCTCTCATATACTGCTTCCTGATTTCCTTAAATTCATGGCCTCAGCTTTCATTAATTGCTATTACATATATGTGTATACATATATTCCATGTCACTTGTATGTATATTTTCAGGGAAGATTATTTGTCACTGAACAACCATTTGGAGCGCTCTTCTTGTCTAGATTTTTATGTAGATTATTTGATCACTAGTGTTGCAACACATATGTGTCAATAGTGAATTTATCTTCTGTCTTAACCGAAGTGTGTTCAAATTTCACAAATATGTTGTTTACTGCTACTGATTTTGGCTTTATAGGCTTTCTTAAATAAGGAGAATTTTCTTTATCATTAGCAATCTAGGAATCTTTTCATACACAAGTGAGAATATCCATTATTTTATATTCTGGTAAGCTGCCACTTGACAATACAAGATACATTTATGGTGTAGTAAAACATTTAATGTATGTTTCACATTGACTGAGCCTTAGGCTACTTTTGCTAGCATCCTTCCTACACTTACTACTCCTGCACTACTTCCATGCTCCACTAGCATCACACCTTCATTCACCAATATTTAGTACATGAGTATGGTATATTAGGTATTGAGAAATTGGTTTTTATTCTGACATAATACAAATACTTAAGCTATTTTAACACATCAAAATGATTACGGGAAAAATTGACTTAGACTGAACGTGGTGTACAGCATTGCATCCCAACTAATCGGGAAACTGAGAATGACCTGAGCTCAGGAGTTCAAGGTCAGTTTAGGCAATACCTTGTTTTTTAAAAAGAGAAGGAATGTGAAGAGGAGGCAGCCAGGTGAAGTCAGCAATTTTATATAGAAAAGGCTTCTCAAACTTTAAACTCGTGACATGTAAATGTACAACTCAGCCCATTTTATTACTTCAAAAATTGCTTCAAGATTCAGTAAATATAAAGCAATCTAAACATAATCAAGAAAAACAAAAGCAGTGGTCTTGATTAAACACTAAAGTGAATATTCACAAAAAGTCTAATTTCCAAATCTGTTATGATTCAAGTCACATGCTTTCTTCCTATTAAAACTGTACTTCACCCTAAAGTCTACCCTTGTCTTATGTCCAACTAAGCAGGACATTGAGCAATACACACTTCTAACTCAAGAGAAATTAGAACAATAACAGCAATAGCAACCTTCAGGTAAGATCAAACACGCACCTTCTAACTGAAGGCGCACTGCCTTTGGAAGAAAATTCATAATCAAGTTAGCAAAGTGGCTTGCTTTTACAAATTTGCTATGTCCACACCTAATACATTCATAATTTAATTACAAATCATTATTTGAAATTTTTCAAAATTCAGATCTACAATCTCTCATCAGAGAATGTCAATTCAGAGCTATAGAAAATTAAATTTCCCTCCAACTTATTTGGCATCAACCAAATGTGAGTAGCTCTCATTTATCTCACTTAGCAGAAGTATTTGCAGAAGGAACTTTAGTGTGATATAAAGGATCTCTTTAGGCTACAGATACATATATTACTCCTCAGAGATTTGAAGTTTAGGTATTGTAATATAAATACGTTTAAGTGTTTTTGATAATGCAGTGTAGATCTTATCATTTTGAAAAGATTCTCAACTCTTCATTTACCATCAAAAGCAACTCTAACACTGCAGACCCTGTGTCTGCTTAGTCACTTACATTCTAAGGCATTTGTAATAGATACTACTCTCACACCACACTTTCTTTCATAAAAGCAGCGTTTTGTTAACAGGTGTACTTCAAAAACATCACAATGATACTTCAAGAAAATGCAACAAAATGCTTAAGGATGTGACTACATTAGACAACACAACATTTATTTATACAATCACTTATTCCAAAAGTGATTTCACCTTGAAGGTTTTAAATTTGTACCATATTAACCTAAGTGTAAACGTAGAAAACTTCCCCAAGAATAAAGTATAAAAATAAAGGATATATGTACTCTAATTTCGGACTTCAGTATCTAGATCCACATCTCGACATCATGCAAGAAACCACAAGAGGAGCACTTACTTAGGAGCAGAAGGACCCCTTGGCCACGTTCCATCTTCATTTTTTTGTTCTATCACTAACACCTGCAAACACGACACAATAAAGGGTGTTTGTCCACAGCTATGAAGTCAGACAGCTTTAGGAGATAAGCTGATAAGGAACTAAAGTACCTGATTATTTAAGGACACAACAGACAAAAATGGTCTGAAATAAAACCCAGTATTGACAGTGAAGAAAAAAAAAGGAAAAAAATCAGTTCCTATAACTAAGAAAGTTATAAGTTGTTTCAGTTTAAAGTATGCTTTAAAATTGTATTTACACTTGTAACAGGATTGTGCAGTTAACATATTCTATCAAGTGGCTCTATCATGATTTAACTATTACGCAAATATTGAGAAACAGTGGCAAAAAATTCCAAACTATAGATAGATTACTTATAATTTGTTTAGGGCTTTGAAGTTAGTATTCATTTACATTATTTTTGTGAATTCTGAAATCTATTTTAGAAACAGTTTTTTATTACATTTATGTATTTATTTGTACTGTGTATGGGTGCCTATATGTGGAGGCACCCATTATATATAGGCATGCATGTGCCTTGAAGCACACATGGAGATGAGAGGACAATTTGTGGGAGTCATTTCTCTCCCTCTACAGTGTGCATGGACCTCAGTCAGACTTGGCAGCAAGTGACTTTATTCACTTATTCATCTCGCTAGTCTTAAATTATGAAATCTTTTAGTATATAACTGACAGTCACACTTACAAGAATCTCATAGTCAAATTACAATAGCTCTAGTTCTTTGCTGTAGCATGTTTCAGATAGACAAAAATCAGCTAGGTCAATAAAAGTCCATGCCAAGACAAAGCTATACTTTTTTAACATATCCCCAACTCCTTCCTTCTATGTTCCAGATCAATGGAAAGGCCTTTCTTCTAGTTTCTGTTAAGGATGAGTCATGTAAGGAAGAAAAACTTAATTTAAAAATACTTATTAAATAAATCTGTGATATCACTAATAAGAAATTAAAAATCTAAATTTGCATGGTGAAACTACAATGCAAAACAACACAAACTGAACATAACACACCACAAATGAATACATCCTATATATTTAGTTCACTAACTTCTCTGTAGTTTCAATTCTGCATGCCACTCTATACCCTCATGGCAATACTCCTTGGAGGAATGTAATTAATATTGAAATACTCATTCAAAAAAAAAAATTCATTGAGCTTGTTGAAAGAGCATTCATGTTAGACACTAAAGCTGCCTTTGACTAATGTATTCACATTCAGAAAAGCTACTTGATGTGTCTCTCTATTTCAGAGAGCTAACTGCACCAAGCACCCACCAGTTCAACCATTATGCTAATTTTCTAATTATCATCTCAATATGAAAGTATATATTTTCAAATCTTTATTAAGTAGAATTTATTGAGTGATTCATAGCTTAAAAGAGTTTCTTTACTACAACTTGCAACTATATGATGTACATAAACTATATCTGCATATACACAAATATTATGGTCTTTTGGAGGAGTTAAATCAGTTTAAAACAAGGAATTTCAGCTATAAAAACCCTCAAAGTTATGCACTATCATTTAGCAATAACATTTCAATATTTAATAGCATTTTTATTTAAATTCTGTATTTTACAGCCACAGGTAGTATTAATAAGCCACAAGAAGTAATAAAATCCACTCCTTTAAATAATTTTCTTTACTCAGATTATTTTCTGAGCAATGCTTTGCTTATTGTTAAAATTTAGGAAAAATTCAAAATTTAAATTATACACATCAAAGGGAGACATGGAAAATTGACCAGTATGGAGAGGTAAACGTTTTCGTACTGCATTTCTCTTACTTTTAAAAAAATCTGTTTATTTTTAAGTAACATACAGCTTTGTGTCTACGTACTGGTACATGCACAAGAGTCCAGAACCTGCAGAGGTCAGAAGAGGCACTGAATCCTCTGGAACTGGAGTTACAGGTGGCTGTGAGCCACCCACGTGGGTGCCAAGAACCAACTCAGGTCCTCTGCAAGAGCAGCAGGAGCTCTTAAGCACTGAGCCACCTCTCCAGTTCTGTTCTCACTTACTTCCCAACCAGGGCACTTTAGCCGACAGTAAAGGTGGGGTGGGCAGGAGGTGGCTCAGTGACTAAGAGTGCTCGCTGTGCTTCATAAGCATATCGGAAGGCAGGCCACAGCTACATATGCTACATATGCCTATGACCCCAGCACTTTCGGGGGAGGGGGCGTTGGGATGAGAAAAGTGGATGTTGGGAAATTCAAACAGTGAGCTTCGGGTGCAGTGAGAAGCCCTATCAAGGGAATAAGTTATATACAGAGATGCTGACACTGATCTTCTTCTCTGGTCTCTGTACACACATAACTCACACAATTTTTTATTTGAAAACTTTATAATGTATATTCTTTGAAACACACCTCCTTCCAAATGAACAAATCCTCACAAATATTTAATCTTAATTCTCTCAATCAAGTCTAATCTTCAATTTGACAAATGTGTACCATCAAGAACATCAAATTCTTTAACTTTCAAAGACAACATTTTCTATATGTCTGGGGAAAATAACATCCATTTCTTAATGCCACTAAAATATTGAATGAATTAACCCTTTATAGTTTCAAATTATGTTCCTATTGCAAGTACCAGTAGATGGCAATCAGGGCAGAGGTCTGTCTCTAGTGGAAAATGAAGGGGGCTCAATAGCTGTAAAGGAGATTAATTATGTCTCATTTGATCCTCAACTGAGCAACTTTCCTACTGTGTATAGTGAATTTTGTAGTTTCTCTTAAGAATGGCTAAAATAAGTTTGAAGATCACTGCTTCAAAGTTTTTGAGATTCTGGAAGGAATTATTATATGGCTAATGTCACCACTTCTTCCTTTCTTTAAAAGATTTTAATTGGAGCCAGGAAATGGTGGTGCACGCCTTTAATCCCAGCACTTGAGGGGCAGAGGCAGGCAGATCTTTGTGAGTTGGAGGCCAGACGGGTCTATAAAGTGAGTTCCAGGACAGCTAGAGCTGTAACACGGAGAAACCCTGTCTTGAAAAACAAAACAAAACAAAAAACCAAACAACAACAACAACCAAAGAAAAGATTTGAATTGTATGAGTACAGGTGAGCTTGTGTGCGCGCATCCACATGCAGCCAGAGGCCAACCTCAGGAGCCATTCTTTTCAGTAGCGAGTCGCCTTGCTCTTTGAGGCAGGAGTCTCACTGGAACCTGGGCTTCCAATTACACAAGGCGGGCTCAACTACAAGCCCCAGGATTTGCCAGTCTCCATCACTCTAGTGCTAGAGTTACAAGTATGCTGGTGATCTAACTCAGATCCTTAAGCTTGCATAGCAAGCATTCAGCACACTGGACTAGTTCTAGCTCACCAAGTTGTCATTGATAGCCTAGTATAATACTTGACATATAGCAAAAATTTACTAACAGTTTATCTCAATTTCTGAGTATTTTTTAAATAACTGTATTGATGTTAGCAATAATTTTCAAATAAACTGGCACAGCAAAAATCATCTGCGTATTGAACCACCAGTCATGTGAGGTACTACTAATTAAAAAAACAAACTCTATCCATGAACCTTAGCCTCAGTATATTTTTCAGATACTAATAAATAATACAGAAATTAGGGGAGAGATTCTTCTTAAAGATCGATCAGTGGATATTGAGAAAAACAAGCACAGGTGAAGAGATGCTATGGCTTTGGGCTGAAATTTGAAGGGCAAATTTATGTGATTTGATGCATCTATATAATAGGATGAAATGGCTAATAGGAAACTGAATGGTTAAAACAATTCTTCTTACTGGATAGATGCAGGAAAATGGGAAGAAGAGTACATCAGGCAGACGAACAATGCATTCAAAAGCACGCTGCAGGAGTACTATGGCAACCAAAAGACAAGGATAGTCTAAGATAGACAACTAGACAAAAGACTAAACCATGACCACACACTGGTTAGGGGTCTGGATTTCATAACCCTTATGGAGTCAGGAAAGGTTTATGAGAGGCAAGAACCAGATTTACATTTTAGCATGAACATTCTAGTAAAGTAAGACTATGCAAGAAACTGGAGGTAGCAGGACGTGTTGATGATAAAAGACAAGGGCTGGGAAAGGAACAGCAATTCACTGAAGAGATGGCTACAAGGTAGAGTCAGTTGCTAATTGTAATTAAACTCTTATTTCTCACTATATATAATGTTTTTAGACTATACCAAAAGGGAAGATCTAATGTGACGGACAGGGCCAACAGGGATGGGCAAACCAAGGTTCCCTTAGCCTACAGCTCTGCTAAAACCAGTTTTATTATAATGCAGCTATACCTACTTCTTTGTGCATGACCTATGGCTGCTTTTATACTGCTACAATGGGAGTCACAGTCTACAACGGCCAGTGGAGACAAAACCACTATTTGATTTTTTATAGGAAGTCTGCTAATTTATCTTACAACATTAGCTGTTTTCATTGAAAACATCCCTAAGAAACAGAGTGTTTCCAAGCTCAACAAAGAAACAAGAAATTACAATTATTGATCAGCAAGGATAGAGAAGAGTTAGAAAGAGGCCGCCAGAGACAGACCCATCATGTACTACACAATATTCGGTAAGTTTTTTAATACAAAAAGCTGCATTTAAAATAAACATTACTGTTGGACTGGAGAGATGGCTCAGCAGTAAGAACATTTGTTGTTCATGCAAAGGACCTATGTTCAGTTCCCAGCACCCAAGTTAGGTGGTTTACAACCACCTGTAACTCCAGTTCCATTTCCTAGCGATCCAACTCTCTCTTCTGGTCTCCACAAGCACCAGGCATGTACATGGTACAGACATACTTGCAGGTACTCACACACATAAAATAAAAAATGAATTTATTTTAAAAGAAATTATTGCTAAAAATACCTGTCCTTGATATAAGCCAGCATCCTGAATGGTGCTATCTGGTTTATTCAGCGGCTCAAATGTATTACTCATATACTTGTTCCACAATCTAGTCTCCTTTTCATCTGGAATACTGAAGATTTTTCTTATTTCTTTTTCAATTGTATCTAAGATTTAAAAAGGGAAGATATGTAAATATAATACATTAAAAAACAGGTATATTAGTTATAAAGAACTAAATGCTTACCAGACTAAACATTATAAATTCATAAAAATAAGGGTAAAATAGCAAAAACAGATAAACAAATACATAATTTTAAAAAGCTTTGTCTTTCAACACTGATGGATGATTACTTGAGGAATTAAAGACTGCAAAAGAAAGGAGTTAGAAACTAAAGGATAAAAAGACACCAACAATGGAAAATATTTGTATTCACAATGCCATCAGTTTAAGAATATCTTACATTGAAGAATGAGAACACATTCCCAAGATATGCTACAGGATTATGTGTAGGATGGCAAAAACAAACCCAAACATTCCATTTTATTTTTCTTACAGGTTTCTTTTTATAAAATTATAAAATAAAGACAATTGTTACATTTATCTAGTGTTTATTTATTTATTTGTGTGTGCATGCATGGGCATTGGCACCAGAGGTCAGCCTAAATGAACTTGTTCTCTTTCTCCACCACGTGTGCTCCAGTGATGGAACTCAGATTGTCAGGTGTGGCTGCAACCTTACCTGCTGAGCCATCTCACCATCCTAACACAACCACAGTTTTTACTTGAACTATAAGAGGAGGCAATTAACTATCAAGACAGGAAGACCGTGAAGGTGGCTTTGAGGGTAAGGAAGAAAAGTTTAACTTTATGTATAATTAGACACAAATAAAGAGAAAGGTGGCTGAAACTGGAATTAAGAGTGTTCAGCTGAACACTAATAAAATATTTTAAGTCAGGAAAATAGATTAAATAAATAAATGAATAAATAAGTAAGAGGAGGCCCAAGGGCTAAGCATGGAGATACCAATATTTTCAGATCAAGGATATGGTGGTGTTTCTAGACAAGTAGTGTACTATGTTCAATTCTGCTGGTGGATTAAGAAAATGGGAGACTTTTAAATTATCACTCAACTTGGCAATGAGGAACTCATCAGAGACAGAGAGGCGGGGAGAGGGTTTTAGCACTGGCGCAATATTGTCAATGAGCCCAGGAGAATCAATAAAGTAGAGGCCAGAAAACAATGTGTGTTAACTGAGATGGCAAGTATAAGCTAAAAATAATGGCTGTCATTCCTTTCAATTCTCCTTAGCCTGCTGTCCTGCCTATTTACAGTAACCTATTCTAAAAACAAACAAATGGAACAAATAAAAAACCAACAAGATAATGAAGGTAAAAGACAATTATAGGAACCAGTATCTGGAATTGTGTATATGACATTAATCAATGGAAATTAATTTCAAGGAACTAAGCATTTATTTTTCCACATATCACTCTGACCCTATTACTTCATGAAGTAAACAAACATTTTTAAAAATACATATAAAAGAAAACTGTGAAAAACATTTCTGGTAGGAATATTTAGTTAAGACTGTCAACCAAGTTTATTAATTTTTATTAAGAAAGCATTTTTTAGAAGGCTTAGAACAAATATGTCCTTAGTGGTTATCCTCAAATATGTGAAGTTGAATTTTATCTTACTGGAGCACACTCAGTGCCCAGTTAACAGCAGTTTAGAGTCACACAGTCAAGGGCAAGTATCTTACCCCTAATACTCTACACTATTGAAAACTATCTGTTATTTTACTACCATGTGGGTAGTGAGAGCTGAAAACAGAATGTTTCATTAATTTAGCAAAATACAAAAATGGGGTTTAATTTCCTAACTCTGGGCAGACAATTTAATAGTTTTTAAAAAATCAGTTTCAATCAAGTTTTTTTTTGTTTGTTTTTTAAAGACCAAAGGGATTAACACACTGTAATACGAATAATAAAAACCAAGAGACAGATATTGGGGTTCAAGGTAAAGATCAGAGAAGCAAAACAGCCAGCCAGTATACCTCTACCTCAGACCAAAATGGGTGATCCTGTCTTCATGAATCCTCAGTGTTACTGCACTGCTCTCCACCAAGTCTCAGACTGCAATCCTCTGAGTTCCTGTCTCCTCCTGCCTTATATTCCTCTCTCTGCCCAGCCCATATCACTCTTGTCTCTACCTCCATAGTGCTGGGATTAAAGGCATGTCATCTCAAGTGCCAGATCATCTTTGTGTGAGCTGTTTCTCTTTAGACTGGATCAATTTCATGTAGCTCAGTGTGGCCTTTAACTAACAGAGATCCGCTTGCCTCTGTCTGTGAGTCCTGGGATTAAAGGTGTGCGTCATCATGCCTGGCCTCTATGGCTGTGGCTAGCTTTGTATTTTGATCTCCAGTGGATTTATTAGATCATAAACAATATATCACCACAACACACACACCCATCTTTTGCTTGTTATCCTAATTCCAAGTAGTTTGAAGAACATCCATTAACAGTAAGAAATTTCAAGTTACCAAAAATTAAGTTCACTAACAATATTAAGACATATTCACCGGGCGGTGGTGGCGCACGCCTTTAATCCCAGAACTCGGGAGGCAGAGGCAGGTGGATCTCTGTGAGTTCGAGACCAACCTGGTCTACAAGAGCTAGTTCCAGGACAGCCTCCAAAGGCAAAGAGAAACCCTGTCTCAAAAAACCAAAACAAAAAAAAAAAAAAAGAGAGACACATATATATTCAATGTCTGGTACCCTTAAAAAGTAGTATTAGGATACTTAAAGTATATGGGTTAAAATCTATGTCAGATCAAACTTGCTGAAATAGATATTCTGTTAAATAATTAAGTTACATTTATCACCTATAAATTTTTATATAGTATTTAATATAAAAACTTCCTAATGGTTGTTTTCAATGCAGAAATTAAAATAAGGTCCTGATTTCCTGAGATTTCTAAGTGAAATCTATAAAAAGGTTTTTGATGGACTCATATTTCTATAATATTTCTGTTAAAATGAAAATTTATAACTTGCTAGAGATTTATGATTATAATTATATTAAGATGCAGTTATTTATATCCCAATTAGCTATTGATCTCTAGTGGTGATATTCAGGTTTCTGGGAGAGAAGTTTCCAACAGCCTTACCCAACCATGATATGCCCTTGAGTGTAATAGCATAAGAACATCATGCAGCTGTGGGTAACCAATAGCTATCATATTTAAAACCTGATTGTTAAAGGAAACTCATGCTTAGTGCTGTAAACCTGGCCAAAAACAAACCTGTGGTAGAAGAGGTCACCGACCCTACGTGATGATTTATTATTACTATTTTGCTAAACTGGTCGGGCTACCTTCTAAATACTTATCCCTATATCCATGGCTACAGTGCAGCTATCACCCCTTATTTACTTCCAATCAGTGCTCTTAGTGACTAGCTCAAATCAGGAGCTCTTACACAGTGCAGAACCTCACAATTTGCTAATCTCTTTGGCATGTTAAGTTTGTTTGTATTTTCCAATAAGATCACTGTTACTACTATCTTTTAAATACTTTATTTGAATATGTGTTTTTATCTGTTAACACTGCATTATAATGAAGGTATCAGAGGACAGGCTAATGGGGGTGAATATGTCATTGTATGAACATTTCATAATTAAACCTATTAGCATGTATAATAATATGTACTAATTAATGTGTTCAATTCATTGTCAAGATTTATACAAGACTATAGTGAAGCTGAGACTATGTTTTTCAAGCTTACTCATTAACAAACCCCCTCAATATGCTATAAAAACACCAGGCCCTCTGTCTTAGCTACTTACCTGGATGAAGGAAATACTAATTGACTTTTTTCCCTCCACACTTGACCAAGTTTTATTTAAACATGCTTCATTTAAAGGTCTACTTAAATTTATATTTTGCTGTTATAAAAAGGGCATGCAAATTTTCAAGTACTAAAAATTGATTTTCTTAAAAGTGGCACAATCATGAAACTCATTTAATAAACATAGTGAGAAACAAGTCAGTCACCTATAAGCTACGACACATGCATGGAAGCTGGGATTCCCCAATGTCTATGAATATAGCTCTGAACAGATTAGCACCACAGCACACTACAACCAAGAATCACAACTAAGTATCTAAAAACAGGACAGGATTTGGGACAGGATCTTACATTACCTATTGTGTCAGCTTTGCTAAATCTCCGAGTTACAACATTGTTCATGTTTCCATTTTCACAGAGCTTCAATTCTGTGAGATATACTTCTACTTTGCAGTGCTTTACAAACATACCCTGTTCTACCACCTTAAACAAAAACAAAACAAAAAAAAAACAAATTAGTATGAATTCTATCAATGTAGTTGTTTCTCATAGTAATACATGTCTTTAACAAAGCTTCAGAAAAACTAGATACCCAGTGAAATATAATTAGCTACTATAAACAACTTAAAGCATTAACAGTTTAAAAAGGCATTATAATTTGTTAATATTCTGGTATGCCATAAACAATTTACCTGAGTTTAATTAAAATGACTGTACACTGATTTTCTCTGTACAATTTCACATACAGCTCTGAATAAACATACAGACAGATGCCTACCTTTTTAACAGTACTCTGACACAGAGAACTTAAAAAGCTTTGTGTAATTCTATATACAAGGTCTGTTACTACTATTTACGCTAAACTGTGTCTTTTAAAATGACTGTTCTGTCCCTGTAATAGATATATTCGTTTCATTCTAAAATGACTTTGTCTGACCTTTAAATGAGTACTTAGTAAATCTATGCAGCACACAAGCAAAATAAACAAAAGCAGTCAAGCATGCAAAAGCAATAAAGTATAAGATGATAAAATATTTATATATTAGGTTCACCTTTTAAATGAGTATATTTTCTTTTGCTCTTCTAAAGGTTAACTGTAGGATGTCAGTCATGAACACTGTTTCTGAAAATAGGCACTGGCCTGATATGTGATACATTAGACAGATATGGCAAAAGGGAGGCTCGAAGGACTTACACGAATCAGCAGGCTCATAGCAAACGCAGTACAGGAATCACAAATTCCTCTTTTGCTTTTAGGAAAAACTGTTTCAACCAAGGGCTTTTAAATAGTTTATCTTGAGTTCCTTGTATAATCCAACAGGACTTTACTTTCCCAGATATGTTCTCTTAATCATGTTTGTTGCAAATCTTTATAACAGTTTTATACATTGTATATCTCACATGTGAGTTTAATAACTTACAGTGCAAAACTTTTAAGTTCTAAGATGCCTTACCCCTCTTAACACAGTTAAACTGTTTAAGAATGTAACAATATACTGAGTTTCTATAAGATTTTCTTACAGCTATTTGATAGTAAAAAAAAGCTAGGAATTAAATATCCTTACTAACAAACTTTGGGACTGGGACTCATATTTGAATAAAATCCTAAGATACTACACGCTATAATTTTTGTTTAACTTCATTTAGGTCCACAATGCAGTATTTCTTCACTAAAATCAAATTTCCTTTTCTTAACCTGAGAAAACTGATTTTCAATATTTCTCCCAATATTTGCATTATAGTTGTAAAGGTCCTAAGAATGACTTGACCTATTCCCTTTTCTTTTGTTTGTAGAAATGCAAACAGTTTCACTATGTAACCTAAGCTAGCCCATCTCCACCTCCCAAATACTGATTATTGAGATTATAGGCATATGTCAGCAGGAACCAAGTCTGGCTTAAACATTACTTTAAATTTTGATTTTTATGTCTTCTCTGGTTTTGAATATTTAACATTGTACTACTGTAAATAATTGGAGATCAAGTGTCTCTTTGTTACTAATTTCTAGCTTAACCCCAGGAGGGGTAACTCCCACCATCTGACATTTTGTGAATTTGTCTGGTGACCCAGGATTTGATCAATTTACCAGGGAATATTATGAAGAAAATTGCCTCCTTAATTCCTAGCAGGTTTTGTAAAATATTTCTGTGAGACATGAGATAGCTCAAGCTTTGGCTCTAACATTACTAAGGTTATATTTTAAACTAGTAACTTATTTGCTCTCTGCTATATTTAAACACTATTTTTTGCTTATCATCTTTATACACAGACTATAGTATAGGAACAAGTGGATGTTAGGCACCATTTTGGCAAATCATTAAATTCATGATACATTTTTTAAATCTTTCTGTTTATAGTAGAGACATTTCCAACAAAGATCACATTCCTATAGTTCCTAAGACCTTCCTACTTTTCCTTAAGTCTTCACTGGTACCCTCCTCAATCCCCAAATTCTCAGTCTGCTCATGGCCTTTTAGGCTTTTATTGATACTCATGTTTTACACCTTCTGATCACTGTACAGCCAAAGCCACCTGTTTGTTAATACTACAGCATCCAGTTATCTAAACTAATATTAACAACCTACTGATACATGATGAAATACATTAAGACTTTACTAACTACAAACACCTAACAGCATTTCTGAGGATCAAAAATCCGTGAGCAGTTTAGCTATGCTGACCTAGGTTGAGATTTCTCATAAAGTTTCTGTCAAGCTTCAGTTATCTGAAAGACTCACTTAGAACTGATAGTCCACTTTTACTGACCAGGAGGGTCTCTTCCTGGAGTACACACATGTTCTTGACCTGTGCAGTTCAGTTCTCCATGACAGAGACACTTGAGATATATACACTACAGGATCTCCCATAACCTAATCTTAAAATATGTCAACACCAGGTGTAGGCGAACACACCAGTATTCTCAAACGAGGGTATTAGCATCAGGAAAAGATACAGGAGGATAAAGAATTCAGGTCTTTCTATTTTCTTCTCCTTTTTGAAGGACCCTTCCCACAATCCTGGATTGGCAGTTATTTTCTTGTAATGTACTGAAAATACTATACTGCTTCCTGGCCTCCACTGTTTCTGCTGGGAAACCATTTCTTTGACTTACTCTTTTTGAGGACAATGTATCTTTTTTTCTTGTTCACTTTTGACTATGTGTTTATAGTATTTCAGTCTGAGAATCAGTGTTTCCTGACTATAATTTGGTACCTTCTCAGCTTGGGAACAACTTCAGCTATTCCCTTTTAAGGCATCAGTTCTACCTGCCCACTCCCTGTCTCTCCTAAGAGTCTAATAATATGCACTTATACTAAATGTAGTCACTATACCAAGTGCAACTTCACTTTTTAAAGACATTCTGTTCCTTAGTATAAATTCCACACTGCCTATTTTCTGCTAACATCAATTGGCTTAAAATTCACTTTTCAGTTCTCTTTCCCATTATATTCAAATGTAAAGTATATTATTATTATTAGTTTCAGAAATGCCAGGATCTTGTTTAATAGTTTTACACTACTTTCAATTATTTATTTTTTGAGCATACTAAATCTACTGTCATCATTAACTATTCCTTTGGAGTCTATCTCTACTGTCACTTATCTAGTTTGGCTAACTGCATCTCTTGCATATTTCCATTGTTTTCTGGTTAGCTTGTTTTTAAAGCAGAGTGCCTGATACTAAAATTGAGGAAGTTTAAAAACTGAGTCACTTTTGTATATGTATCACAGATTCTTTAATGTAGCCAGAGAGTGATAGAATCCAGAGCTGGTCACCAGACTCTGTAAGAGTTGTTACTATGTTTACTTCTTGAAGCAACTTTATATCAGTAACTTAGGGTAGAGTAAAATGCAGTTTCTTAGACCTACTCAGTTAATGTGGACGGAAGATACATCTCTAAGAAGGATTCCGGGCAATTTTATGTATATTAAAATTTGAAAAATACATGCTGAAAAATTTGCATTTACCTAATTAAAAACAAATGAATGACCTTCTAACAGACTTCTCAAACTTTTCTTTATAAGTATGTGAACTTCCCATGATTCTTTTATTTTAATGTCCTTAAGTTTTGAAAAACCAAATTTCAGTAAGTCCTTTTAAAAAGACTAAGAATTTTAAAAAGGCAATGAATTTGTTGGTGGACCTAGTACTATACTGAAACTTGTAGTGTACAATGTGCTCCAGGTATAAGAAAGCGTAATACTCAACACACTTTCCTTTAAGAAGTGAGTTTTGGCACCCGGGAGGCAGAGGCAGGCAGATCTCTGTGAGTTCGAGACCAGCCTGGTCTACAAGAACTAGTTCTAGGACAACCTCCAAAGTCACAGAGAAACCCTGTCTTGAACCCCACGCCCCAAAAGAAGTGAGTTTGGGGGGACAAGAGGGTAAGAGGGTAACGGGGTGAATACATTCACAATACATTGTGTATACATTCATATGAAATTATCAAAAAAAAATAAAGAAATGCTTTTACAACAATGAAGTTTTTGTTGCAGTGCCATTTCCCACGTAAAAGGCTATCTGTCAGCATGTCAGGGCACTCAATTCTCCAAGAATGGCAAAACAAATAGACCTATATTCATATTACACAAATCAGAATAAATTATTCAATAGACAAATACAGTCAGCTTATTTATCTTGAAGTTTGGTATTCTAGAGTAATGCCAATTTTAGTTCCAAAATGCTATTTTTAGTATTTCTAGACTATAATTGTAAAACTTTAAAAAAGATGGAAAAAGTTTACATTTTCATTTTAGAGTATTTTATGTTGCAAAAAACATTTCTTCACCTTTTAGTTTATTTTTTAAATTGTCTTAAAAAAAAACAGTATATATAGATAACTGTCCTCACGTCCTCAACTATAAAATAAAGACATTAATTCTGTGTTAACCAATTAATCCTAAGTATTGCTCTTAGAACGATGAGAATATAGGTAGTTTCTATGTATGCTAGCAGCTATTAGTATCCAGTGCAAGGAATGTTTCCCTAGGATTTCTCCTAGGATGAGTTAAGAAGGCTTCAGAATACACTGTTACCAATGTGAGCTACTTAACAATACATTTATACTCAGTTACTCTCAAATATACCTTTCTCGCTATTGGCTCTTGGCCTTCCATCAGCGTGTACCAGCTGACAAGTTTATTCCAGCCCTCAGTCGGCAGCAGTATGTAATCCAACTCATCGATAAGGTGCTCCTTAAGTGACTGGGCATCGCCATCTACAATGGGAAAAGCAAGCTCAGTGCAGAACGGGAAACAGTACCATCTCTCAATACACTGTCTCACACACACTACAGACAACTGAGACTCACGATAAAGACTTTAAAGTTATTTTGTAAAGCATCTGTCTGCTTTACTCCAGAAGACCCATAATTGGGATTCACTTCCAATTCTAAAACCATGGTGTGTATAGTACTTCTCATTCTGAAATGCTTTAACATGTCTAAGGTAAACTAAGAACTTTTGTGTAGTTCAGGGCAGAGATCTAGGAACAATTTCTTGAGTCACAGCAATGTCACTGTCCCATTCTGGGACTCATCTATTAACTGGTAATTGAGTTTCCAAAGCACCCTGAAGGAGAGCCAGCTCAGTAACTTCTAATTAACCTGAAGGGGTTTTCTTGCCCTAAGCTGACTTTATCCATCAGAGGAGGAGCACTGCTCTCTGTGGCATTTCTATGATAAGAATGTACTATTCCTGCAGAAAAATGCTCAAGATGGTAATAATAGAGCTCTTGTCCTTTTAGCATTCACCTGTGGATTTCTGAACTTTGAGAAAGCTATGTTTTATATAGAAACAAAAACTGGAAAGTTGAATTTTACATGATCTTCAATAGAAGTAGTAAAACGGGTACTAGCTAAAAATGATTATGTTTATTGTGCATGCATGGTATATTCACACGTGTCATGAATGGTACAACTATAGTATATTCACACATGTCACAGTACACCTATGGTATAGTCACACACGTGTCATGGTACACCTAGAGAGAAGGACAACTTGTGGGAGTGTGCTCTCTCCTTCCATCACCTGGGTCCCAGTGGTTGAATTCAGATCCTCAGTCCTGGTGTCTAGTACCTTTACCAGGTCAGTCATCTTACCAGCTCTGAGTATTAACTTTAAACACAGGCTTTTAAGCTGTGGTTGTAAAGTGAAAATACAATTTGAAATATATTTTCAGAAACTCCAAAGATGAGGAAACGATATATATACTAAGTAAGCAAAATGTACTATGAGACATCACACAGCAGATAGCTATGGCAGACACACTATTGTGAATTCTGTAAACAACTCTGCAAGATGGGTGTCTTTATTATAAGAATATACCCAGAGGGGCTGGAGAGATGACTTAGCAGTTTAGAGCAGTGGCTGCTGAGTTCACAGGTCCTGAGTTCAATTCCCAACAACCACACGGTGGCTCACAACCATTTATAGTGGGATCTAGTGCCCTCTCCTAGCATAAAGGTGTACATGCAGATAGAGCACTGGGTATAATTTGAATACTTCTAACTTTACTGAGACAGGTTTTATGATGCAGAATATGGTCCATTTAGGTAAATGCTGTTCATATACACCCATCAACCTGGCTAGAGATTCTGAGAGTCTTTCAAACTTTTTCTGTCCTTCACATGGAGATTATCAATTGCAAGGACTCATTTGTTTACTGTTTAATTCTGTGCAAGACCCCACATTCTGTTCCTCTAACTCACAACATTATACACACCACAGGTCAGAATACTGGAGGCACACCCTATACACATCACAGGTCAGAATACTGGAGGCACTCTATAAACACCAAAGGCCAGAATACTGGAGACACACTCTACTCCTCTTGTTCCTTCTGTGGACAGTGTCATGGTCTGAACCTTACTTCATGCCTTTTTTATTTTAAATTCCCTTTCTAACTTAGCTGGTCCCAGTAGCACCTCGAGTGAGATACATCAGAAACCAGCCCTTCACACAGGCACACGGATACAGGCTTATTTTGCTCCTTTACTGTGGGGAACCACCACCCCATTCTGCAATACCTCCTAACACTGGAGGGCCATGGCAACTAAAGCAAGATCCTTACTTGTTTTCCTTTGCTCTTCACTTCTAGGCATCCAAAGCACACCAGTTCAGACACATAAGGAACCAAGACAAAACCCAGTCCCTTCCTTAGCTATTACCAACAAGCCAGGATGCTGGGAGGTGCCTCATTCCTCACTAGCCTCCCTGGTATTAAAGCCTCAGATTTGCACTTCTCTTAATCTCACAAAGCATTTGGAGTACAGAAGTCAACCATGTATTTTCCTGTTAACAGCTCTCAGACATCAAAACTAGTCTTGTCCATGCAGTGCTCCAGGTGAGGTAAAACACTGGTAACATGGTCATGTGTGGCGCTTAGAGACTAACCACACTGAAACCAGGAAGCTAAATACATATTCTTTATTATCTGTCTCTTAAATGGAGACATTTTACCATTATATAATCTTTCCAAAAAAAAATTCAAAATATATTACTGTGGTTGCCACTGTGTATGCACACAGTGTGGATCACATACAAAGTTTAGAGACTAACTCTGTGCAGTCAGTTATCTCTTTCTACTTTTATGTGGGTTCCTGGGATCAAACTAGAAACCATGTACTGAGTCCTTTTCGTGCTTGTCAGGGTTTTAGATATTTCAGGTATGTGGATCTAGTCCCTCTGACTCCAATTTGACGGTAAGTGGGAGGGCTGGTGCTTATGATTTATTTTCTTTAAATATAATAAGATGAAGAGAAGCGCCGGCAAGTATGAGGGTTGTAGGACAGTGCAAGAAGTCAAGAATGTAAACAGATACTGGTGATGACTAACTTTGAAAATATGTCACACGTTCATTAGGAAAACAATGTGTGCTTTATCATTTCCCCAAAACAGTAAAATAAGTGCTTTATAATTTACATTCTTCAGTTTAACCTTTGAATCCTAAATCACGATCATATCATAAATCCAAAAGAGAAATGATCATGTCATAAATACAAAAGAGAAATGCACCAAATACATAACAAATAATTACAGAACAATCTGCAAATAAAAAACATCTTTTCCTTTCCCTTTCTGAAAGCATCTCCTTATGTCTCCAAGGCTAACTTAAAGTTAGATTCTTCTGCTTTGGCCTCTTGTCCAGGGTACAGATGTGTGCTGCTCGCCACACCACGCCTGCAGTGAATCTCTACCAGTTTATTTGCGTTAACATTCCCCACGTTTCACCCATGGGCATTCGGTCATTAAATCAACACATTTACAACTTGACTGCAGAAAATAATACCTTTGAGAAGTCCAGAGTTGTCAATGGGTCCAGGATAGACATTTTGATCTCCCATTTGGTATTTATCCCAACTGTCAAAGCCAACATACTTTTTCCACTGTTTGAACCAGCGACTATCTACTAGATACCTATAAAAGAAAAGAAACTGGTTAAATAAAACACCTGGAAATACAAAAATACCAACAGATCAATCTACTTTTGCTATTTCATTTTGTATTAGAGAATATATATATATATATATATATATATATATACATATATATATATTCTTCAAAGCCACCAAGAACAGAAATAGTCTGCAATTACTACAGTCGCACTGTCATTACTACTTGGAAGGAAAGACTTCATTTGTACAAAATATTTTCATTGTTAAATAAGAAGTTACTACTTGAAGTCAAGTACTGACATAAAAATGGAACAACAATCCCCATAGCACTTAACAAAAGCATTCAAATGATAAAAATTCAAGAAAAACACATATATATGTATATACATATATATACATATGCATATACACATATACATACACACACCAATGTGTCAATCAAACTACATATATATGTATATATATGTATATATACACACACACATATACACACACACCAATCAAAAATGTAAGGCACAATGTGAAAAGATAGGAGTATAAAATTGGCTCTACTAGAAACCTACAAATACATGTATATCTTTTATGCTTTGAGTTTCTGAAAGAAAGGAAAGCTTAAGGGCTTTAAAAGTTGACTATACTGGCCAGGTGTTGGTGGCACATGCCTTTAATCTCAGCACTCGGGAGGCAGAGACAGGGGATCTCTGTGAGTTGGAGGCCAGCCTGGTATCCAGAGTGAGTACCTGGATAGGCTCCAAAGCGACACAGAGAACCCCCCCACCCCCCCCACCCCCTGTCTTGAAAAACAACAACAACAAAAAATTGACTATACTAATTATAATCAAACTTAAAATAGTTTATCACCACTATTTTCAACACTACACTTGGTACTGACTTCACACACAGTCTAATAAAGTTTCTGGGACATTATTCTAACATTAACCAGCTTCACCTGCAAGAAAATCAGCGGCAGAGAGGCTAACAGCTCTGTGTGTAATGAACATTTTCAGGGATCACCATTCTAACATTTTTTGAATTACCACCCAGAGCACTAGAGAAATAAAAACCCACAGTTATGTCTGAAAATAGCTAAAGCAAAGGCACCAACCTAACAAACCTTCTAATTCTTAAAGAATATTCATGAGCACTTTCCTTTTCTAAAGTGGATATAAAGAATCCTATAGTGCCCCTTCCCACTGTCAGTCAGTTATGCAACTCAGAGTGCTCACACTGGAGAGCTTTGGAAGGTGGGAATTCTTAAGTAAATCCATTTTCCAAAATTTAACTTCATTAAAAAACATACAGGACAATATGATTCATTAAAAAACATACAGGACAATTTTCCACTGAAAATATGATCACCTCATATCCTCACCACCTACATTCATTTTTAAAAGCCAATAAATACATAAGATCATTTAAGCAAATTTGACTTTTCCTCCTTTGCAATTTAAAATACTAAAGCATATGACTTGCTTTCTCTGCAGATAAATGTCACACCAAGACATGATCCCTATTTCATTCATCTATGCATTTATCATTGTCCCAAGTCTACAGTGTTTTTATTACCCTAGTCCTAAGACTGCTTCAGCTTAGTGTTCTAATTGCCTCAGATACATGTGGCCATTTGTGTTTTCAAAAGGATTTTAAATAAACTTATCAGGTAACCCCTCCACACACACAGAAAAAGGAGATTCTGATTAGAACTGCACTGAACTTAATAGAATAACTTGGGGGAATTGTGGCTCTAGTCTTCTGATTCACAAGGATGGAGTTTTTCCTCAATTACTCAGGTACTATTTAGTGTCTTTAATTAATGATAACAAAATATTTTCGTTATCAAATAAGTAGTTACTATTTGAAGTCAAGTACTGACATTTAAAAAAAATGGGAAAATAATCCCTGTAGCACTTTACAAAACAAAACAAAACAAAAAAACATTCAAATGATAAAAATTAAAGAAAACCCTTGGCAATCGAAAAAATGGGAAAAACTTACAAAGGATGTCAGTGTGTCTACAAGCATCTTACATTCCCGACAGGCATGGTGGCTCGTGTTTCTACTCCCAGCATCCAGGAGACTCAAGCAGGAAGACTTTAAGTATGGGGCAAGCCTGGATTTCCAAGCCAAGCCAGAGAGACATATCATGTTGTCTCAAAACCAAGCCAAACCAAGATCAGTTTCCAAGCAGTTATGGTGTATAGTTCTTAGTAGTTAGTGCATAGAAACGATCAGTTTTATTCTTTTAATTGACAGAGGACCTCTATGTTTATGGGCACCATGCGATGTGCCATACATGTCACAGTGCAATGTTTAAATAAGCAAAACATGCTTCCCTTGAGCACTGATCATCCCTTTACTGTAAGATTTGAAGTGCTTTCTTCTAGCTTCTGGAAATACACAGTACATGATCATTTCTACAGCACCAAAGTGCACACCAGCACTTAGTTCACACAACTCAGTGTCCACTGATCACTCTCCCTAGCCTCTGTAAGCATCCTACTCCCAACTGCTAAACTCTTTTAGATTTCACATTTGAGTAATTCACATTCTTGAATCTGCAGTATTTTACTTAATATCATGTCTGCTACTGCAGATTCCAGGATTTTAACCTTTTGTAAAGGGAAGAACAATATCCCCCTGTATTCCTGCATCACATTTTCTTTATCCAGCCACTGAATGAAATGGGGCACTGAGGTTGTTTACAAGAGATGATTAAAAAACAAACAAACAAACAAACAAACAATCTCATGTTCACCAACTGTCTGAGTCCTTAGTTTTATTTTGTTAGAAATGCCCTTGAACTTTTCCTTTTCTCTCAAATATACAGCCCAGTCTCACCTGGAACTCATGGATCCTCCTGCATCAGCCTCAGTAGTGCAGGTGTTACTGGCATATGCCACCACACACTGGGCTTCTTTCTCTCTCTCCTCCCTCTCCCTCCTCCCTCTCCTCTCTGTCTCTCTCTCTCTCTGTCTCTCTGCCTCTCTCTCTCCCCCCCTCTCCCTCTCCCCCTCCTCTCTCTCTCCAGTATAGAAAAGTTAATGTTGTTGCTGTAGATAGTTTTCTAATCTTTGTTGAGACAAGCCATTGGAAAACTCTGGTGTACTTTGCCTGCTAGGTATGAAGACCAGGCTGGCTTAGAACTTCTGAGATCTGCTTGCCTTCCACAGCCAGCTAGAAATAAATACTTGTTTTTAACAAGACTATCTAAACTTTTACCATTTGATAAGATAATTTGCTATAGTTTTTGATAAATGCTTTTATGCTAGAGAAACTACCTTCTATTTAAATGTTTTAATATTATTATTATTATTATTATTATTATTATTAAATATTGAATGTGAGCTTTTTTTTGCATTTACCATGGCTTTTTCTTTTATTAAACAAAATTAGGGTAACTTTTCATTACTTTATTTTCAGAAGGTTAGTTTTGTGAGGATGGGATATGAGTTCCTAGGCACTTGGAAGTACTTACATTGAAGTTTGTTAGGGAGTCAACATTTGCTTTGATCCCCAGTTAACTTTCTTAAGTACTTTTGGCTTTTACCTTTATAATGGAGATACAGATACCCTAACCAATTGTCTTAAATACCTAATAGCATTAAAAGCAGAAATGAGAACTTGAAATACCATTAATATTATAATTTAAAATGCCCTACACTGAAAATGTGAAATTTATGGAACAGTATCAACTTCCTATATACTGATACTGTAAGAGACTTTCCCTTTGATATTTAACTGCTTCCAGCATTAGTTTCTCTTGAAAATGTTTATGTTTCTATTGTAGGTTCCTATGATTTATTTACAGAACTGTGTAGAAATGTCTTGGAAACCTGAACAAGCTAGGATGCAACTGTAACCCTAGGTGAATCCTAAGGACATCGAGAACATCATCTCCTATCTATTAGGATGGCTGTAATTCAAAGAGGAGAGGATGCGGAGAAAGTGCAATTGCAAAATGGTGCATTGTGTGGGAAACAGTAAGGAGGATCCTCAAAACAGGAAAAAAATAGAATAACTATATATGATCCAGCAACCCACTTCCTGAGATACATAATATCAAGACGTTGAAGACACATATGCACTTCCATGTTCACTGCAGCATTAAGAAGACCCAGAAACCTAAATGTCCGCAGACTGATGAGCTGTTACAGAAAATGTGGAACACACCCATGAAGCGTTATTCAACTTCCAACAGGAAGGAAATCCTGCTATGTATAATAACCAGATGAACCAGAAGCACTTGTGTTAAATGAAACAAACCAGATTCTACTTACATGAGGTATGTAAAATATTCACAATAAAGGACAGTAGATGGTAAATATCAAGGGACATGAGAAGAGAAATAACTTGCTGCTTGGTACCTACACAGGCTCAGTTATGCATGAGGACTGAGCTCAGATGAGCTGTATGTTGTGCTTACAGTTAATAGTACCGTACTGAAGGGCTGATCTCATGTCAAGAGTTCTTATCACATGGCCATGAGATAGTTAAGTGGGGAGACATACCCTACCACACCTGACAAACTGAGTTCCACCCTGATACTTACAGAGTGCAAGAAGACAACTAATCCTCCAGCTTGTCCTCTGACTTCCACATGAGTGCTGTGGGATGCCCACATACTACTCCAAGTCAATAATGAATGTAATAAATGCTTCTTAAAAAGTTCTTGTCGAGCCAGGTGGTGGTGGCGCATGCCTTTGGTCCCAGCACTTAGGAGGCAGAGGCAGGTGGATCTTTGTGAGTTTGAAGCTAGCCAGGTCTACAGAGTGAATTGCAGAACAGGCTCCAAAGCTACAGAGAGAAATCCTGTTTTTTTTTTGTTTTATTTTGTTTTGTTTTCCAAGACAGGGTTTCTCTCTGTAGCTTTGGAGCCTATCCTGGCACTCACTCTGGAGACCAGGCTGGACTCGAACTCACAGAGATCTGCCTGCCTCTGCCTCCCTAGTTCTGGGATTAAAGGCGGCGCCACCAACGCCTGGCCCAAGAAACCCTGTCTTGAAAAACAAAACAAACAAAAAA